TAGTGTAGTGTAGTGTAGTGTAGTGTAGTGTAGTGTAGTCGGCCTGGCTCCATCCTGGGCTCTGGGAAGAGGCCTACCACCTACCTCACACTCTAGTCTAGTGTAGTGTAGTGTAGTGTAGTGTAGTGTGGTCTAGTGGAGTGTAGTGTGATATAGTGTAGTCTGCCTGGCTCCATCCTGGGCTCTGGGAAGAGGCCTACCACCTACCTCACTCTCTAGTCTAGTGTAGTCGCCTCCCTGCCTTGCCTCTGTCATGCGTTCTATGGGAAGAGTGCTACCACTAACCTCACTGTCTAATCAGTTTTTTCACTTGCTTATCTGTTATTCTTTATTACAGGTATAGATTTTGAATTCACTTCTATATAATGCCTTGTTTGTTTCTTGGTCTAGACCCTTAAATTTAAACATAATGAAGGTAATATTCAGTGATTTTAAAATTGTTACATTATACATGCAATATCACTGTAATACCTGTCTCACTTTTTCCCCAAGCCTCAAGAAGATTTCAGATCTATCTTCCCATTGTGTTCTTAGCCTAACTGGTTTTCATTCTATTTGGAGCCCTGTATCTGTTTAGGCATCAGGCACCTCTACATTCACTCCCTTTGGACGACTGGTCCCTTCTCACGTCAGCCTCCAAGACGCCGCCAAAGAGCAGGGCTGTACTCACGTACGGGAATATGCTCCCCACAGCTTTCCATGTCTCATGTGCTAAATAAATGTTGTGTTTCCCATGAATGTGTATATGGAATGTTTTAAGCACTTTCTGCAATAAGGGTCCCTTCCCGGCTGGCCTGCCTCTATGGTTGAGCATCAACCTATGAACCAATAGTTTTTGGTTGGCTTCCTGGTCAGGGCACTTGCCCAGGTTGTGATCTTGATCCCCAGTGGGCATGTGCAGGAGGCAGCCAATCAAGGATTCTCTCTCATCATTGATGTTTGTACCTCTCCCACTCCCTTCCTCTCTGAAATAAAAAGCATATTTTTAAAAAATAAGGCTCCCCAACTTGCTACCAGATATTACACATCCATGTACCTCTCTGTCCACCCCACCTGGAGTGAATGTGGGTAGGACGGCATCTGACTCACACACCTTGTACCTCAGTGAACAGTCACCATGGTTATTCCCCTGCAGGGGCTGTCCTCATAACAGCACAATGTCACAAAGGCCACGATGCTTTAAGTTCTTGCTGTACCATTCTTACCTGGGCGCTGTCACACCTACAACACATCTCTTTTCCATGACTTAGAAATAAGACGATTAAAAAACTGTGGTACATCTACTCAATGGAGTACTACGCTGCCGTAAAAAGGAAGGAACTCCTACCATTTGCAACAGTAAGGATGGACCTGGAAAGCATTATGCTAAGCAAAATTAGAGAAAGATAAATATCACATGATCTCACTCAGATATGGGATATAATGATCAACATAAACTGATGAACAAGAACAGAGACAGAGACAGAGAAGCAGTGATCAGATGCTCAAACCTCAGAGGGAAGGTAGGGGAGGGCGGGGGTATGGGGGAGAGATCAACCAAAGGACTTGTATGTGTGCACATAAGCCTATCCAATGGACACAGACACCATGGGGTGAGGGCATGAGAGGGGGGTGGGGTGGGGCTAAGGGCACATATGTAATACCTTAATCAATAAGAATACGCCTTGTAAGTGTCCCCATGTGCGCCAACATCGTGTATTATTAACAGTGTTGGGGGAGATTCTAAGGCCTTTCCCTGGGCACTAGTGAAGGGAAATGACCAGGGCAATTGATCAGAACTTCTTTGCTGCCGCAGAGAAAGGAAGTGAGGGGGCAGATGCCATGTGTTCACCATTCCCCCAGGAGGACCCCACCTTCCTAATGAATCCGGAGTGGATGTTTTCCGCTTTGATATGCCCACTGCGTGGGAATCGGTCTCATCATGATGGTAGTAACCACATATATTACAGACCTCTCCCCGACCATATCCTGTAGCTTTTTTTTTTTTTACTTTTACAAACACGCTGATAAATATTTCTAAAATTAATTCTTTGTGCTTATCCGTGGCTTATACTTCGGATAATGAATATTTATTCTGAAAACAGAGACCATGGTCATTTTCCTTTCCACCCCGATTTGCCAATAAGGTCGATGAAAGAAGACCCCGGCCCTATTACTCAAGAAAGGAAAGCCATCCTCTCTTGACCTTGGCCTCGACCAAGCTCCGTTCCTGAAGCATCAACCATGTGTTAGAGGGAGAGGGCGGGGCAGGGCTGAGAGCTGGGGGCCCGGGTTGGTCTTTCTGGATTTGCCCCAGCAGGGCCCGGGCCCAGGACCCTGAGAGAATCGTGGGTTATTCCCACCCTGTTTCCCCATCGTAACGACAGGGCCTAACCTTAACCCTCTCTATCCACACCTCACCCTGGAGTGGAGGCTCTGTAGCGTGAAGGTCACATGGCCGATCCCAGAAACCTCAGGGGCATGAACCAGATCAGTTTGGAGAAATTTAAAGGATGCAGTTTCCATTTGCAAGGCGC